CATTCCTCGAACCATTCGTACTTCACCATCGTGAGAATTGTCATGCAAGATTTACCTGGGGAAGCGAGTTTAAGCACACTACTTTTTTGCCTTTGTACATCACTTCTTGTCATTTTTCATTTCAACAGTAGAAAAAGTAGTAATACCAGGGTGTCTTATTTTGGCCTCTGGGTCTTTGGCAGATGGCATTGTGATGAACATCATGGGAATATTATCCGGTGCTTCCTCTTTGCTCAAAGCAAAGAAGTCCTCCATCCTAAAAAACAACAACATGTTCATCTTTCAGGTGGCCATGCATGGAGAAGCTAAACATCTCTTTTGGAAGAGACTAAATCTGACCCCTTAGAAGACAATCAATGATATTTGTGTGACGTTCCTGGAGCAAATCTAAACGGTGGTTTTTGTGTTACTTCTTCTTATACAACAGTGGCCCCTAGTGTAGATTAAATGTTAGTGTTCGTTGGGATCGGTGCTCTGCAGACTTACGACTTGTCCATGTCGTTGTTTTTGAACAGCCAGAAGTTGGTGGACTCGAGACCCAACTCCTCTTCAGTCCCATCAAATCCAGAGAAGACCAAGAACGATCCTCTGCCGTGCTTCATTGTGTTCAGTCGTTTCTGAATATCTACCAAATGGCAAAAGAAATATGATTTTTTCCCAACAAAATCTAACCAACGTATTAGTACGGTAACCAGGGATCTGTTGCTCACCTGTTTTAAGATGAATCTCAGGGGGGAGAAGCTTCTGGAATGTGGTGAAGATGCCGCAGTTTGAAACCACCACAGGCGCGTGAATCTCCACTTCCTCCTGACCTCTCCTCACTTTCACACCTGTCACATGACCCACAAACTAGGCCTTCAGTCCGCCACGTGTGGAGCATGTACCCCTTTAACAGGTAAAAAAAAAAAAAAACATTTCTCACCGTAGGCGGCTCCGTTTTTATTAACCAGGATCTGGGAGACGGGGGCTCTGACCAGGCAGTTCCCTCCATGTTTCTGAATGGTGCGGATGATGTGGAAGGCGATCTCGCTGCTACCACCTTTGGGGTAGTAGGCGCCCCGTTTGTAGTGATGGATGAGGAGGGCGTTGATCAGAGCGCTGGAGTCCTTCGGGGGCACGCCTTGACGTACAGAGAGCAAAGCGTTAGGCCTACTCATCAGTCCCCTATTTAGTCCCCTAGCTAGTCCCCTCATTCAGTCATTTTACACTCGTCTTTTTGGGGACCCACCATAGAAGAGATAGGAAAAGATGACGTGGAGGTCCTTGTTGCTGGTCAGCGTGTTCACCAAGTCTGCGGCACAAGTTCCAGTCAGGCGGAAGACCGGGGTGACGAGGTTCCCGATGCCTGACTTCAGCAGGAAGAGGGACACCCACTGCGGGATCAGCTTCAGGGTGGCCAGGTAGTGAGTCTTCTTGGCTGAGACCTGGTGGGACACGGGGGGCTGTTGCAGGTTTTCGGAGGGACAGCTCAGTAAAAATATGCGTCCAGCCGCTAACGGCGCAACTGCACCTTCATGATTTTGAAGAACGTCTCGATGGCCTCCGTGTCGTCGGGGAACTGCTTCATCAGATGGGCCTTCATCTCGCTTTTGCCAGAGAAGACGGTGTACTCTCGTTTCTCGTCGCCCAGGCCGATCTGGATGGTGTCGAAGTGCTGCTTCAGCTCCTGGAACTCCAGCTGGCCCTCGGAGATCTGGTCGAAGGCGATGCGCAGCAGACTGTTCTCGTGCACCTGGCCGATGTAGTGAAGGCCTGGCGAAGGAAACAAGGATTTAATTCAGTCGCAGCGGCGGGGGGGCTGTCGTAGCAACACCCAATCAAAACACACAACTGTAAAGGTGTTCTATAGGATAGGATTGTTTGAAGACAAAACTCGAAATGACATAAGCGGCCGGCGGTCTTACCGACATCAAACTCGAAGCCTTTCTCTATGAAGGTGTGGCAGCAGCCTCCCGCCTGGTCGTGTTGCTCCAGCACCAGGACTTTCTTCCCCGCTTTGGCCAGCGTGGCTCCGGCCGTGAGCCCCCCGATACCGCTCCCGATGACGATGACGTCCAGGTCCCGGGGCACTTTGTCGACGTGGAAACCTGGACGGAAACACACAAAGCGGATGTTCAACATGGTCCCGTTTTTATCTAATTAATAAGGATGTGTTGTAAAAAGCACAAGTGTTACATGCATGGGATGCATGGCCGGGTTGCATAACACAGTCTGAAGGTTGCACTGCACACCTCCTTTCACAAACACCGCTGGTCTAATTCCTGTATATCTGCGTTCTACTCTTGGTAATAAACAGCAGATTAGGCGGCAAGCACAACTTACTGGTTCATAATATAATTAAGATAAAGCCCGCGGGTGATAAACAATTACTGTACTAAACTCTGAGTTATGACACAAGTCATTTAGATAGCTGTATCAGCACACCTCAGCAGTGCCGTAATTGTAGTTGCATTGTCACTTTTTAAACATACATTTATTTTGTGGCCTTCTTTCTATTATTAGTTTACTTGGTTTGTATATTTCAAAAATTCTCACAGAAGCACAACATATTTAAATACACTGATTTTAATTGTACAATTCATGGATAAAATTATTTATTTTCTCTTTTTGCCTTTTTGGAAGATGCTGAACGATATCTCCCAGAGCCAAAAACTAGAAATGTTTATTTATTTATTAATTTATTTGTCAGGGACAATGGACATACATTCATTATTTTGTTATTGTCATGTTTTTTTGTGAGACCTCTTTCCCAAGTCATTGTCTATATGGAACATGTTCACAGGTCGTTATTAAACGCATCACATCTGTATTTTAGCCCTCTAGTTTTGGGAATTTGTCTGAGAGTTTACTCAGTGAGATTTTGGTCTTAGACAGTTGGAATAACATTCGTGAACTTTAAAAGATAAACTTAATGTTGCATCCGACCATTTTCAACTGCAGTCACTTTACCTTGCTTGATGACTTTGTCCCGCTTCTTCTGGTCAAACTCTCGAGGTCCGGGCGGCCTCACTGACTCCAGAGAAAAAGGGCTCGGTTTCCCAAACAGGTACCAGTACGTGCCGCCGACCCAAATCACCAACCACGCCAAGAAAACCAAGAGCCACATGGTGGAGACACACAAACAACTGCTTCTGCTCGCGTGTTGACGGCCGCAGTGGGTGGTTTTTTTTAACTCTTCTTCCCTTGTGAGGCTCCTTTTATTTACATCGAGTGCCAAAGGTCAGGAGATACAAGCAATGAAGATAAAGCGGTGAAAGAAACGTTTTTCTTGGAATGACGAATCGCAGCGTGCCAGCTGATTGCAGCCAATTGCTGGACACTCACTCTACGAAAAACAAACAATGGGCACTTTCCTTGGTCTGCAGGGATTTCCCTTGTCAATGACTTTGAACAAAACAAAGTTTGTGTTCTGTCACGCAGTTAAAGCACTTCTGAGCATTTTGACACTTGTTTTCTTCCTGTATGTTGTGATGTTTATTCAGTCATTTCCAAGAGTTAACAGGAAACTTGACATGATGATTTGACACATTCACCAATGCTCTTATCTGATAAGGCAATTAAGATTAAGACTGTACTGTGGACAAGGCGCCTTAGACTTTAAACACGCAGCGTCAGCTGAGGGAAAACACAGACTTAATTATTTTAGGTTCAGTAAAGACACTGTTGGTGTCCTTGGGGAAGCATTAGGGCATCGATTCTTTCGTTTTGTTTCAAATAAACAGAGACATTAATCGATTTACACTCTAACAAAGTGTTAATGTTCCGATATCCACAATATGTTTTTGCTGAAGAAGAGTAAGAATAGCAAATCCGTACTCTATGTGATAACAATGTCTTCTTAACGCATTGTCATTTAATGTATGGACTTTTTTACTCGTGTTCTCCACTAATTCATCCCATATGAAGCCGGCGATGACGCAAACCGAACCAACTACCTGTGACGTTGGCCCCACTATTTAAAATTCAGAGGAAGAAGGACAAACCCGACTGCATTTTTATCCAACGCCATCTTGGTTATGGGTCGTCAGGCATCTTGTTTTTTGTAAGTAGAATGTGAAATTTTAGGCTATCGATGCTGTATTATTAAGATTGATGAAGTGAAAACAGGGCGACGATTTTATTGATCTACAAAATGCCAATACAACGTTTATTTGTCACACGCAGTTGTCTTTAGACTTGTAAACGGTGGAGTTTCCCTTTAACAAGTGCACTGATTTGATTGTCTCCATATTCTCACAAGCATGAAATGAGAACATTTTCAAATCATTTACAAATTCACTACATATTATATAACGCATTTCAAATCAGAATTACTAAACTGAAGACACGTAACCAGCAGCTCAGTTGCTACAACATCCTTTGCCCTTTAACTGAAGCGGGCGGAGAGTTTAAAGTTTAGAGATTGTTTTGACAAGTAAAATGCTGATATACCACCGATATCCTCTATATGATAACCCACCATAAAAAGGTTACTACAATCTTGGAAACAGTTGTGCAAAGTTGCTGATATGCGCTGCCCAAGGTCATTGGACGAAAACAGCTTTAATGCAGCGTGTTTGTTTATTGAAATTATAGAAATTAAACCTGCACATTTCAAAAAGCTACTGTCATACCACTAGTTGTTTGGCAAGTTTTGAAGAAATACTCTATATTTTTGGTTGCTGCCGAGATTGAAAATGACATTAATTGGATGGAGCTGTGATGAAGTGGCTGGGAAAAGCCTGCAGAGTTGAAACAGGAAGCAGCTCTTGTGTCGACAGTCGACTGTGCGGAGAAATCCTATTAAGAATTAGACTAAGCGGCAGCTGCACGAGCGCTGTGACTTTGCCCTGCCTTCCAACGCAACGCAGGCGAGGGTCATGTTGACATACGACCTTCTGCACACCGACCAATATCCAGTCGAGCCTATTTACCATTAACTGATAGGATTTCATCAGGGGAAAGCACAATAAAATACATCTTAATGGAGGCATCATTAGGAAATGAGCAGCCAGGTCAGGTCGAGGCTCTGAACAGCTATTTGCATTTAATTACAAAGTGGCAAAGACACGTTTTCATATCAACAGGTACATACAGTAATCCAGTGACGGAAAAGGGTCTCTCTCCCGGGAAGCAACAACCTTTACAGATCTCAGTTGTCTCACTACCGAAACATTTTACCCACAAGAGTTCTACAGGGATTAAAAACAGTGATGTAACCGGATATCGCATATAAAACTGTTTAACTATTCCCTGCGTCTCCGTGTGCTATGTTACTATGCAGCCTCCCTTGTCTCCCTTGTACGGGTTCTTGTCATCCGCAACGCCCTTTATCAGCGGATCGTTTGGCACCATTTGCTCGACAAAAGTGACCGTCAGCGCACAGTTTGCAGCCACCTGTTGTTGGGGGGAAAGATGGAGACACGTGTAAGCTTAACAAAGCAGCGTTGGACCATTTAAACTTGCATGCTACACATTCATGAAGCCTTTATTTCTTCCCAGGTTGTTTTAAAACAATACAATTAGATCATATTGGACCGAATCCTAAAACTTGATGGAAAGACAAGGTGTACTTACTGGTGTCCGGGGTGTGTTAACTTCCTTCTTCAATTGGTCCAGCTCCATTTTCAGGATTTCCTTATCTGACATATCCCGAGCCATCCTGACTAAAAGGAAAGCAATGTTGGAATGTTAAAATAGAGAAATATGCAGGTCCTTTGGGTTATTCTCTTTGGTTCCTCTGATAAAATACATGTAAATCCAAGCATATACAAACATCTCAAGCATCGATCGTTACCTGTTTAATGGTGGGATCCTCAAAAATGTGAAAAGGTGTTGGCTCCTAAGAGTCCCTGCAGTCCGGTCGCTTCCTCACAGTGACTGATCCCCTCGCTCCCACTGCTCTTCATCCCAGCTGATCCATGCTGCCGGCTTTTGGGAGAGAGGTCGGCGAAGGATTGGACCTGATTTCACCAATCCGCCCTGATGGGATTAAACAATCAGGAGCCGTAACCTCTGAACAGGAAGCAGGAAGGTGAGGGATCCTTCTAGATCTGCAGGTGAGGAGGAGAAAGTGGGACATGGGAAGGGAAAGACTTTTACATCTCCTGAAGCCCTTTCTTGTATTCAAAGTCTCTGGGTCGTAATGCCTCCTCTGGAGACCATTAATTATTTAATAGTTATTAGTTAATAATATGCTGTATTAGATTTATAGAAAGTTCTGGTGATCATGATTATAGCTGCTAAAAGAAATATGAGTTTTTTTTAATTCACACTGTGGAAGAGAATAGACATAACAACAGTAGGGTGTTCTTCTCCTACCAAGCCCCCTTTTGCATTTGGGTTCAACCTCACCTAGTCTGCCGTGAATACTACTCCCCCCCTTGTTGTCCTGCGAGGAAGGGGCCCAAGTAAACGCCACTAATTTGCCTTTAATCTGGCAGTGCAGCCAATCAGTCTGCACGTCATCCTAATGGACAAATTGTGCACGTAAAGAAGGCTTCACTCACGGCATCAAATGAGCTCCAACAGAAAGCTGAGAGGTGAGGCCGTTCAAACTAACGTTTCTGTTAGTAGAGGTTTTATAGAAAACACGTTCTTGCTGTGGGAAAGTAGTCCCGCTCATCGCGACATGACAAACTACTGATCCTGAACTAAACCTTCAGCAGGACTCACACTAAGCCATTTTCAGGATCTGAGTTAGTCTCATCTGCTAAAGATTAACGCGAGACACGTCATTGTGGATCAACGGCACTATGATCACCTGGTGAATTACTCTATGTTCATTACATACTTTGGGTCAGTTTCATTGGGGCTTCAAGTGTGATCAATCAAGTAGTCGTTCAACAAAAAATATTCTCGGGTTCAGTAGAAATACACTGAATGATTGCTTTTAAAAACATTTTGAGATTTAAATTAAAAGTGTGGGATTTTCAGAAATATACTCATTGGTTTATTAGTGGCGGCCGGTGGAAACTCTTCTAGGGAGGGGTATCCAATCAATTTCCAGAAACATCCCAGAATAATGTAATGCAAAGCCGATAAAGGTATAAAAAAATCACTAACTTGTCGTTCAATATTCAACATTTATTGCAAGACAAAGAATAGTTGCAGATAAAAGTTTAACAATCTTATTTGTGTCACCCTCACAGGGAATTCAGTATAGTCCATCTATGTATCCATGGATCTGTCTGTCTATCTGTTCTATCTATGCAGAAAGAGCGCCACCAGCCCAATGGCACGCCGTTGTGGCTGGAAACGGTACTGCACCTGATCGTACCTGTGATTTAGTCATCAATCAGCACATAAACTGATATAAATATGTCTTGATATTTCATAATATATCTGTATTTATACAGGAGTTTTGGTAATTACCCATGATTCCATGGAGCAGCTTTAGCTTTTTTCAGACCCAATAACTTAATATAGCAATTTTAAGTTGGAAAACAGTGTCTGCGACGTTAAATAACATGGGCTCCACAACTAAAACAAGTAGTCAAGTAGAGGGCTTTAAATACTTCTGGAATTCCCACCTGAACAATATCAATATATGGTCTTCAGACTGTAAAAACGAGTTTCAAAGGGTAGTAATTTCAACCTGCTTCACCTTTTGCCCCCGCGACCCGACCCCTGATCAGCGGTTGAAGATGGAGGTAGGCTTTACTTTAAACATGTGGTGACAACATGGAAGGTGGAAGGGGTGAAACGTTCTTTCGCCCGAGGTCGTTTCTCTGGAGTCACAGTGAGGCGTTCGGGAAGATGCAAATGACCATTTAGAGTGAATGTGTGATTTGTCGTGGAAAGCAGGCTTATTGCAGCCTATACTGATAAAACGTGATATTTTGTCAGTATTGAGAGATACCCGTATATTTGCGCACTCATTTTGTTTTGTTTTGCACATGTTGCACATTCAGTGCAATTCAGGTTAATTACAGCCTTAATAAACTATTTTCTGCCAAATATTTGGTTTTTTTTGCACAGATAAAACCTTATTTGCATTGTTCTAACAATATGGTTGTACATTTTATTTGTTTGATCATTTTTAAGTGTTTTTTTGTTCCATTATTTGAAAAAGCATAGATGGAGTCACAAAATGTTATTTCAATAACAATTCAACATGTGCAATTTTGTTGGGGCGGTGGGACAGGAACATCAAGTGCAAATATCCAAAGTACTCATATTATTGGTCCAAATCCGAGGCAAAAATTATCCAAAAGTGATAGCAGCTATTTATTAAATTGTGTTTACGTGTTAGTCATAATTGTATTTAATACTAATAGTCTATATGTTTTTTGAAGAAACAATAAAATTAATTTCAGTGAACGTCCCAGGTGGATTAAATGCAAAATAGTTAAGGTATGAAAAACACATACTACTACAGCAGGGATGGGATATACAGAAACAAGCAAACAAACAATTTACACAGGGTGCAATATTGGACACTGCTCAACCAGCCTTGAAAAACGTCCATTGTGTTGAGTGTTCAACTACCAAATGTGTATTATCTTAAAACCCTTTATTTTCTCAAAAAGCATATCAATGTAGGCTTGATGGTGGTCTCTGAAATATGCCACCGGCAAATGTTGATACACATGGAAAGAGGTCTTCTGTTCATTGTCAAATGTATTTTACGTCATGTTGCACAACATTTGTGGTCCCTTATTTCTGCTAAAAGACACTTTTGGACAGAAAATTACACCTGTGCATGCGCACACACACACACGCACGCATGGACACACAGAAGGAATCAGTTAAATATCAATTTTCTTGTTTCCATGTTTTTATTTAATTGGAGATGTTTGACAAGGTTAGAATATCTTTTGTCTGTGAATGTGTGTGAAGGAAATGAGGATTACTTAATATAAAGAGAGGAGGTCAAGCTTTCATTGATAATTCGCTGATATAACACTACTGGCTAAACTGTTTTTTTTAAATACTATCACACTGTCTCTGGAAAGGAGCAACAATGCACAGTCTGATGATATATGACATTACATTTATCTAAAGCGACTTACAATAAGTGCATTTCAACTATAAGGATACACACTCAAAAAAACAAGAAACAATAAAGTGCAATTACATTAAATTAGTCGATTTACAACTTGCTTTTGATAAAAAAGCAGGTGGTAAGCCATTATAGGTACCATTTAAGTGCTACAATGTATCTGTCTTCAAAGTAGAGTCTGAAGAGGTGTGTTTGAGGTGAAAGATGTGAAGGCTCTGCGGTCCTGATGATAGTAATTTTAACTAGAACACCTACAGTTTGTTCTATATTAAAAGTCCACTGATCAGTAACGCTCTTCCAAATTGACCTTCTTTATCCCACTTTTTAAACCCCATAATAGGTCAATATGAATACATGATACCAGGTGAGAACAAATAGAAACGGTCTGTTCTGGAAAAAGTTGCTTCCCTTAAGAACAATTGATTTCAAGCCAGGATTAGAAGTTATTTATGATTTTCTAGAGCATCAACAGTAGTGTTTACAACAACAAAAAAGTCACCATATAAAGTGATAAAGTCAGGTTAGTGTATTCTTTAATTATGAGCACAAATGGCAATACAGTCTCTCTGTTTGTACCACGGACTGTATATAACAAATTTGAGCCGTTCTCTACTAATATTTACGCATGCAAATCATCCGCAAAATACTATTCAAAAAGTCTATTCAAATCAGGTTTATAAAGTTCCACTAACGCGACTTTCCTTTTTTACGGCCCCGGCACAAATGAACGAATCGGTCTCGTCCACAAGGTTCCATCAGCGAATAGGAGGACGTTTTTGCACCGAAACAGAATAACTTTTCAGAACAAGAGCGTGAGCATTTGAATTAAATGCACGTTCTATGCGTTATTAAGACGTATGCTTTTATTTTGACACGTGCGTGTATATGGTCCGGAAATCCTTTGGCGGAACTGTCGTTGGCGGACAGACTGCAGCAGCAATGGCAGCTCCCAGCCGGAAGCAGACTTTAAGGTTTCTAAGCCAGCTGGGTGCGTTTATTTTGACCCGTTTTGGATTTTGGAACTGCTTCAGCATGTTGATGCTGTTTGCTGAACGGGCGGACTCCAAACGGTGAGAAAAAAGGAGCGACTTGAGCCTCGGGAACTAGAAAATGTTAGCTAACGAGCTAGCTAACGGCAAGCTAACTCCTCGTCAACTTGTTGAAAAAAAACACCCTTCTTCATCAAGACAATTATCAAAGCACCCGCTATGTGGTTTGGCAGATTTAACGTCGATTACTTACCGAATATTATCTGACCTCAGCATATCTTTTCTGTTTGAAAGTAATTTAGAGCTGCCAGTTAACGTTGGTTAACTTCGCAAAGGATGTATTCTAGCAATTCGGTAAACCTCGCGGCAGAATCGTTGACTTCATATGGAGTTAAAATCACATGCTGTATTTTGCCTGGTCTGTAATTTTCTTCTGTTGGTTAAATGTAACTGTGGCTTTAATCTATTCTGCGCACTGGGCGTGTAGTCTTTACATTCAGACAACCACAGCCCTCTGAGTGATCCTGTAATTACCGCGACTATAAAGAAAACGTGCACACCCTTCGCCCGACCTGACCGCCTTCTTCTTTTGGGTTGATGTCCATCATTAATTGTGTGTTTCAGCTTGAATATGTGCTGCTTACAGCTCCGTGAATGTCAATAGATTATTTTGTTCGCCAAAAAAAAAATCAATAATCTCACACAACAGCACATAGAAACATATTTGTGTTCTCGTAGACTCGAGATAGAGAATGAAAACATTGAATAGTTGTTGAGTGGTTTAATTTCCAGTAAATTTGTGTGACTTGACGGATACAATCAGCACTACACAAAGCACAGTATTAGAAGTTGCAGCTGACGTGTAAAACAAGTTTGTGTTTCGCTACCTCTTTGCAATAGACAATAATCTCTACACACATAAATGCACCAAACTATTACGCAAACTCCATACATACTGAATAAAGCAGTAGCCGTATGAATAACAGATTTAACCTCTTTTCTTTTAATTGTCCTCCCTAGAAAGCCCGACATCCACGTCCCGTACCTCTACGTGGACATGGGGGCCGCTGTGCTCTGCGCCAGCTTCATGTCCTTTGGGGTGAAGAGGAGGTGGTTTGCGATGGCCGCCGCCGTACAGCTGGCCGTCAGCACCTACGCATCGTATGTTGGCGAACAGGTGTACTACGGGGACTGGCTTAAGGTGAGCCACCTCCCCTTCTGTGGTGTACAGTAACGGAGCACAGATGTTCGGCAGGTTGCCTCTGTGCTGCCGTCTGACATCAACGCTCGGGTGTTATTATGCTCCAGGTCAGCTTTGAATAACAGGATTCGTGGAGTTTGTTTCCATTTGTGTCCTTCCAGATCTCCCAAATCTTAATTCTTAAATTATTCAGTATTCTTTTTTTATTTTCTCGATTTTTTTGATTTGATTAAATCTCTGCAAATGGCCCGTATCTGATTGAAGTCTGAAGAAGTCCTATATGTCAAAGTCTTAAACCATATAAAATATGGTAGTGTTCATTGCCAAACTTCAGCCATGGCCCCATTTCCACTTCTCCAAATACTTCCTCAGTTTTCCATTTGGGGATTTTATGGTGACTTTTTAGAGGTAGGGACGAGGTGATGAACTGCTGTTGAGTAATTATGTTGGTGCAGACTATGGAGCTTGTGTGTCATTATTTAAATACCTTCATTAAGTAAACGTGAAATGTAAACCCTCGGCTTCACAAGCTAAAAACCAAAGCTGTCGGGCTTAATATGAAAAATAAAATTCGGAAAATAAATGTGCTAGTTAGCTGTGTGTAAACCTCCTAGATGTGGTCGGCGAAACACTGGTTTTGTTTATAGATCAACGTTGCAGCGGAAACCTGTGTTCGATCATTACAGCCTGAACATTGTTGCCTTGCAGGTGCGGATGTATTCCAGAGCGCTGGCCATAATTGGAGGTTTTCTGGTTCTGGCCAGCGGGGCGGGTGAGGTGTACAGACAGAAACCTCGCAGCAGATCCCTACAGTCTACAGGACAAGTGTTCCTGGGAGTTTACCTCATCTGCATGGTAAAACCCCCCAGCAGCTTTATTTACATAGTGGCTATTTGAATGTGCACATGCTGCCTCAGACATTTGGACACTTCACAAAGAACATAGTCACATATAGAAAAAAAAATATATATATATTCTATAATAATATAGAGACCTTGTGTCATGATTGGGTGATTTTACGTTCAATACAATTTCGAACTGAATTTATTTTGGTCTGACAAAACTGAACATTTAAAGGTACCAAATTGCATTTCTCATCTTTTTATATTCTATAAATTAAATTCGTAATCAAGAACAGAATTGGTAAATTAATTGATTTGCGTATTAGTTGTCTTAAGAAATCTAACAGCTATTTAGTTTGGATTAACTGTCTGAGCAAGATTACTTTATCTTCTTGCAATCAGTACATATAAAAAGACCTATGTAAGATCAATATGTGCAAGCCAGATAATCATCATCTATATCATCAAGAATGTGACGTCAGGCACCATATTTCTGCATTGGTTTTAATTAATTGACCTTCAATACTGTGGGTTTTTTTTTAACGGCGTACCACTTCCTGCCGCCCTCCTCCACTAGGTGTACTCCCTCCAGCACAGCAAGGAGGACCAGCAGGCCTATCTGAACCACATCGTGGGAGGAGAGATCACTCTGATGCTGCTGGAGGTGCTGTTCGGGGTGCTGGCCCTGGCCTTCCTCTCCGGCTACTACGTCCGCCTGGCGGCGCAGATCCTGGCCACCGCCCTGCCTCTGGTGATCCTGCTCATCGACGGCAACCTGGGCTACTGGCACCACAGCCGCAAGGTGGAGTTCTGGAACCAGATGAAGCTGATCGGACACAACGTGGGCATCTTTGGCGCCGTGCTGATCCTGGCCACGGATGGTTGAACGCTGCGGGGCTCCCGACGACCAACTTCACAGGCCGAGAAGTCCGCGCGGCGACGGGACTGGCGGCGTTGCGCCCGCAGCCCGACTTTGTACTCGAAGCTGCTGCTCGGCGACCTCTCAGGGGTCAAACACTCCGGGCAGAGACTGTTGGATGAAAGCGGTGTCGATTGTCTTTTTAAAGCAGCTGGTGTGTTTTGCTTTTGCAAGAAGAAAAACACTGTTTTTGGCAGTTTGTCTGTTACGCTTTGTTACATGACACTAATATTGAGTCTTAGTACTGTCTACAGAGAATAAACCGTCTTAAAGGGTATAAGATTTTGCAAATAAAGGGGAAACTTAAACTTTTGTGCTGCAGTGTCATGGGCTTTATGCATTTCTGAGTTTCTTTACAGCTTGTAAACAATGATGTACAGAAGTGGGGACATCCAGTTTGGCAATTGAGCACACTTCTAAAATAACATTTAATGCTAATTGCTAATTTTTCTGGATGCCTGGAGCAGAAATAACTTTTTAACACTTATATACAATGAACATTTACCATTACAAACTAAGTGATCATTTAATGGCATACTACGCCGTGTCAGTGGTATTCTTGTAATGCATTTTTAAAACTGTCTACGGAACTTTTATTCCAACAAGAAAAAAACATTAAGAAAATCGGACAAAAATGTTCTAGTTGGCAAAGTATTAAGTATATTTAATCTCTGCAAGTTGCAACAGCCATAAATCCTGAAAGATTATGTAACTTGTTTCTAAAACTACTTTTACTGTTGGAATAAAGTGCATTTTGCGTCATTCTTTAGTAAATTATGACTTCATGCAGAACCGCTGGTACAGAATAAGGTTACGTTCCTACTCTTTACCTGCGGCACAAAAGGATCCGTGTGCACCTCGGGGGAACCCGGACTGGACCGGGAGTCCATCAGGTCGCAGACGCTCGAGGATCAGTCACAACACTGTCATGCAACAATCCAACGTCTCACTAATTCCTTGCTGCTTCTCGCAGTTTGACTTCATAATTCAAATTACATGAAGGAATCAAGCGAGACACTAAGTACTTTCAACAAATTAGTCTAGAAAACAATCCTAAAATTTAATGACAGGACTCTCAAGTGTCTCGCATTGAGTCAGTCACTCATGTCGGTCTTTAGTCACGCACATCCAATTTAGCAAGCTAAAAGAATTAATCTAAGCCGGTTGGTGAGTTGGTTCCTCTTCAATCTCCCCGTCGGCCGTAGCTTACCGTACACCCCCCCCCTTTACTTTAGGATTTGAATATTTAAACTTTTTCTCCAATCTATAAGATTCACTATAATGGAGTTACCATTGAACCACCATCAAACCCAACCAGCAAAATGAACCTGCAACTCCAAGAAACATCCTCTTTAAAGGTTTTCGTCCATACAAGGGTTTTTTAAAGGCTTCAATAATTTACCTTATGATCTCCATGTTTAAAAGATTTCCCGTCACCAACTGGAGCAGTAAAGATCTTTAAAAACATCTGAGCTTTAAGACACTTGTCCAGCTTCGGCTTCAGTCCCCTGTAACGACACGGCTGCATCCCACTGGCTTCTAAAGGAACCCGAGCACCGAATACGAAAACGCCATCGCTCAAAAAGATGTTGACATGTGGCATCGAGATCCGCGAGGCGAGAACAACCGGGGCGTCCACCTCCAGTTTGAGAGCAAACCAACATGTTGAAAACGTGTAGGTTAAAATGAATTATAGAGAGTCCATCAAAAAGTTGTGGAAAATTACTGTATTACAGTCAGAATTTTTGTTACTTTTATTTTAGAAAATGTCCTTAAAGTGTGGCGTTTCAAGTCACATTTTGTTTAAAATACAGAAAATACAGACAGTAGAACATGGATACAGCAAAAAAAGGAAACAATGACAGAAAATAAAGCTAACAAGCCTTTCTGACTGCTCTAGTTTTCTCTTTTTGAAATGGAAATGAAGGCAAAGGAAGGAGGGCGGAAAAAGAAAAGGCTTCAGGGACAGGAGGGGGAGGAGGAAGAGGGGCAGAATGAGACAAGTTAGTTAAGGAAAACTATGGTTGCTTTATGGTTCATGTTTAAATTATTCTTTATAAAGTCTAATTTAAGATTTAATCTTTCCTCTTTCTTTTTTGTCTTTTTCATTTAAATGGTATTTTGATCTTCTGGATCCAGGGCCCTCAGCGCTCCTCCTTGTGGTCTCGGACTGAGGACAAGGAATGCAGACTTAGTCTGGCAGTGGGAACAAAACCACCCGCGTCGCCTTCCCCGGTCGACCCACGCTGCCAACTCAAGAAGATAAAGTGGAGTCCTTCTGTGTTTGCTGTGCTTGTGAACGTTGCATGGACTTCTGACTTTCCACGTCTCTAAAATGTTTCTCAACCTGCGAGAAGGAAATCACAACGTTTTCAAAGAGCGGACACCGATAACATATAGATGTATGTACTTCTGTCCCGTCGGATATGCAGAGCAGAAATGAGACCAGCCGTTCAGGTGTGTAGATGTAAAGCCCAAAAAAAGTTTATGAAAAGGATCCATTTAGTGGTTTGTTCCAAAAAGAAAGCTACATGACTACCAAGATCTTTTCCTACAGCGAAAGTGTATTACAAGATTAAAACACTGTTACAGGTATAACTCCTGCGTAATTTTACCTAAATTAAAGTAAATCAATAAAATGTACTTTGTATAAAAGTGGAACTGGTCCCATAGGTCATTCTTCAGTTTCTCATTATTATTATTGATGCTGTGTGGCTTCAGTCGTGTTCCCCGTGTGTGAAATGTATAATTGTATTTAAAGCCATTAAGCGTACTTACTATTTTGCGTACATGACTTAAAGCGCTTCCCTCTTTGCCTTTGCAGTTCTCGACCTGGTAGGGCGGCGAGATAACGACGTCGTCCATCACAATAATGTTCTTCTCCTGCCATTTACAGTCTTTGATGCTGCAAAGAAAAACACACAAACATCAACCGATGCAACACGGTCGGAAATGTTCTTTGGTCGCTCAGTTTTCCGTACGCACTGACAGATGCCTCTGATGAATAGTCTTCAACTCCTAAAGTTAAGAGACCAGGAGATTTGTTGTCGTAGTCAGACGATTTGGTCTCATGACCCTTAAATATCAAGCTGATCAACATGACGTTTGAGTTGTACAGCTAGAAAGCTACACAGCAGGTAAGTTAAAGGCCTCTTTTCTACAGACACACGCCAGTGATTACTCATTACGTCAAGCTCACTAAACACCCTAAAAGACAAACGGACTATTCCATGAAGTGCGGGAGAGGTTAATTGAATGAGTCAAATATCAGCTGCTGCAAATGGGCGTATAGATGATTACCATTTGTCAAGGTCAAATATAAAAGGGCAGCAGACAAGACTTCTTAAAGAAAGGGCCTTTTCATTCCATTCTAAAAAAAGTATTACTTTGGGTTTGTAGTTTAAATCATTTTGTTGTTCTGACATAGTTGTAGTGTGACCTCACGCTGAACTTCTAGTTCTAGTGTTGAGCCCTGTGCTCCCTTCCAGGAAGCATCTACGCCCTCTATCAGATACCAGATCTACGCGCAACGGCTTCAGGTAGGTTTCCGGCTCCTGAATACCTTTAAGGGGAAGTAAGCCAATTACAGACGCCGTAAAATACTTCAATCAGCACCATTTTGTATCAACAACTCACTCAGTTCTCTATAACTGGGTTGATGCTTTTGATCTTCACTGTAGAACATTGAGCAGCTGATCGGCGGATGAACAACAGTACAAGTTCTTACGTTTTGTGAATAGTCTGGAATAGCTGTTGGCCCTCCACAGAAACCCCAGCACTGATTGCATAGGCTTGGGACAGCTTGTCCTCCTTTTCTGACCGTGCTCGATTGGCAAGCTGCAAGAGAGAAAGAGAGAACAAACGGGATTCGATTATTAAACAGGTTTGAAGTAGGATCAGCTTTAGATTTATAACAGCAGAAAGAACAGGACGGTTCCAAAATGGGACTCCTTGTTTTGGTTAATGACTATAAATCTTAATCACAATCTTTTGCTCCACAGGTGAGGAACTCCGATATCGTTTCATAATTGGTACAACCAGGTTCAACAACACGAGTTTACGTTTCGCTTCCACAGATTTGCCCCCAAAATGACTGTCATGCAGTGACAAAGGGAAGCGAGCAGAGCAAAGCTTCACTCATGTAGAAAACGCCCTGAATACACAAGGACTCGTTCATACAAAAAAAAGCTGAATCTAACAATGAGCTTCCGAAATTGAGTCACGGAGCAGACGCAATGCTGAGCTTTCACCAAAGCTCATCCTCGCATTCACTCAGCCTCCCAACTAGTGTTCCCCTCCGCCCGTGACACGAAAAGGACTCACCTTGCTAACATTCAGTGATGCTAGTGGGGGTGGAGTCTCAGTGCGGTCATTAATTATGTCCACATCAGAAACGTAGGCTAAGTTGATCAGGATGACGTCGTTGAGGTTGGGCTTGCCGCTGGAGGAAGCACATTCTGGGAAAGGACCAAAGTCAAGGCGCACAACTTCATGAGGAAACATTACAAAACTGAATATATTAACAGACCTGACGCCTCATGAGCCTGAACAGGCCTCACTTAATACTGCACAGAGCGGCTTATGATACAGAGGACACTGGCCGGCTGACAGTGAGAGGTGGTGCCAGTTACAGGCCCGGGAAGTGCTGCCACCAGTTAAAATAGACGAATGAATGGAGAATTGTGTAGTTAGTGATTTTTAGTGGTTTTATTTGCTAAAAAGCACACGCGGTTGTCTTCCAAGTCAATTAAACAACTGCTTAACTCAGTTGCCTTGATCTTTAAGTTCCTTGGCCAGCTGTCAAATGAAGTCCTTCATTTCACAGAGGACACATTTTGAGCGAAAAATTAACTTCTATACAAAGATACACACACAAAGTGAGTAATCACAACGCAACAGAAGACCGTAGTAGATTTATCGGAGCACAGATCTGTGGTTTTGGGATATCCTGACAGACCAGGGCCTCCAGGGGCCGACACCACTTGCCAAGTCAGTATTACAGCAAGTGCTTGTTGGACTCGGCGTGGTTTCCTATGCAGATGTTTCTATTCCATTAAATCGGATTGGCAAGACGAGCATTCGTTTTTTAAAGTGTTTTTTGTTTTTGTTTTATGCTCATCAGCACAATAACCTCTGCTGTAAACGCAAATCGCCACAGAGCCCGGCTTCACCGAAAAAACAAATTTGACTGAGAATATTAATTTGGCTTATGTTGGACGGCACCGAAGTGTAGAATAAAGCCAAAGGCCCGTGATGGGTCACACCTCCGTTACTAAGCATCGCCCCCATCGGCCCGCCGGTCCTGTTGTCGTTACCAAAACCCACTACACACACAAATGAACCAAAGACACACTGATCCAGCATGGTGCCTAAATGATGTGAACACCTATTGATGAGGGGTGGGGGTGTAGTCATGTCCATCAACCAGCCAAACGGCGGCGGAATTTAACTCATGATAACGCTGACACCCGGATTTTATTGAAATTAATCCGATCCGTGGAATAGTTAACATGGTCACAACGTCGCTAGAGTCGGATGAGACGAGGGGGGGGAGAGGCCAGCTGATAAGCTCGGGAATGCTAATACCATTAATTGAGCTAGCTAGCAGCGGCGGTGTGGGGTTGACCGACGGTTAGCACGTTAGCAGAGTTCATAGCAACTTCATTTCGGCGTGGATGGAAAATTGTTGTGCATGAATCACTACCGTTGGAAAATATACTGTTAGTATCAACGAAAAAGAACGAAACCGCACACCACGTGAGGGGAGAGTGGGGGGGACGGGTGCACCCACGCCGGAGCGAGGGGCGCCGAATGTCAGTTAGCTTGCTAGCTAGCTAACAGCGGCTTGTGCCTGTTGAGAGCAAACAGCCATGATGCCTTACTAGGGTTCGTTGCCAGATAGTGATCCATGTTGGGGTCCGGCGATACAATGAGTGGATTCACAACACATGCTCTTCCTAGCGGAAAACGAGAAGCGGCGAGGGCGACCCGCTCGCGCCTACATCGCCTTCGACAGATGCGAGGGAGGGTCGTCGACCCACCGCTTTAAAAGAAAATACATAAAACGGACAAAGATGTGTAACTCGGCCACCACCAATTACGCCTGCGCGGATCACTATTTGACACATTTTCGGTTACCCTACAGGCCCCTCGCAGCCAGGCAGACCCAGCAAACCGCCCGGTAGCTCGACACAAACAAAGGATACTCAGAGTTAGCATCTTCGACTGGTAGTCGAAAGCGACCACTTCTCCTTGCAGACGTTGGCCCAAGCAGGTGAGGCAAGAGACATGGCTCCCGACGCTGAAATACTCCCCCGGTCCAGGAGCCGCCATCTTCTCCGCCAGGAAACCGGAGCGCCTGCCTTACGTAAAACGACGCGATGTCGTATGGAGACGAAATCTGGGCGTGTCGTCGACGCACGTCGCGTTGTGGCCGTTTGTTTTAATGCGACGAACTGTACTCACAATCTAATCAATGCAGCGTACGCCTTGTGTCGTAACACTTTACGCCCAACGGTGTAATTGTCGATAACGCGTAAATATGATATAATTAACCGAAATATAAAGCTGTGGCTTTGTCTTCCATTCAACACGATTCAACCGCGCTTCGTTCAAATGGCTCCCCCTACTGGACACACGGCGGTACCGCTAGCGCTGCACTTCCTGAAGTGCAACATAATCGGGATTGCGTTTTGAATTTTTGAATCCACATCGAAGTATATGTTTTGGGAGAGGACGCAGTCATGGAGACCGTTTACACCCAGGGCATTTGGATGGCCGAACGTCTGCAACAGAGGACGATGAGTCAAGAAAACATGTGGCAGTTAGTCACTCATATTGGAGATCCTAAAGCAGCCTTTCTGCTCGTCTTCCCTTTCACGTATTTCATCAGCAAACGAGCTGGAGTAGCGGTGCTTTGGGTAGCAGCTATTTCGGAGTGGTTGAACTTGGTGTTTAAATGGTAAGGCTGGAAAAAATAACGTAGCGAATTGATTTTAAACGTTAAGTGTAACGTTAACTTCAATCTCCAGACTCTTTCGGTTATCGATGACATGTTAGCATAACGCTAAATGTGTTGTTGATATTCTTATCTGTCAGTATAAGTTGGATGCACAAGCAAATGTAATGTCTTTATTCTTTATATTTTTATTCGCAACAATTTAATCGAAGAGATTTTTATATTATATTCTGTTGACGTTGCAACTCCTGGAAGGTAAACGCAGTCCATCAACGTGTACGGTCCGACGTGAAACGGAAACAAGCGGAACCATTTATATAAAGTTATGTGTCGTGGTTTTTTTATTGCGATATTCATTCATAGATAAAATACATTGAAACCACTGGTAACTTATCAAAACATAAAGGGATACAGGACCAACATAATGAATGTGGTAGACGTTGTTAAAATTATAATATCCAATAGATACAGCAGAGACACACACTATAACACTTCATTATCATTCTAGTCTGAAATAGATAACGGGGATCAATTAGAATACTACTAAAATGTTGCTGAAGTATCAAATCAGATTCTGTTTAACCTTCAGACCCTGGGAAGAGATGCACATTCTTGTTGAATAGCAGCAGATTTTACATACATAGCCAAAACAACATAATGATATATTATTAGTTGTGACGATGATGTTTTTGATATTGGTATACACCACAAATTCATTTAATCTCATAGAGGAAAGTGTATAAAATAATGTACCTTTTCTAAATGCAGGTGAGGATGTGCTTTATTGACTTACAACAGAGTGCATGATAAATGTGAGGTCAAAGGAACCTGCTGAGATTGTTCTGACAGTTTTTACAAAGTTATGGTTAAGTATTTATATGAATGCTGGACAAACAGGTAGCCTTAATGTCCAGTACAAAGACTGCCGTAGGTCCTGTTATACGCTCTAATAGAGCAGGTGGAAATGCATGAATGGTTATTGTTCATTTACCGTTTCCAGGATGCTGTTTGGAGAACGGCCGTACTGGTGGATAGCTGAGTCACGTCTCTTCATCAACAACCAACCCAACATTCACCAGTTTTCCTCCACTTGTGAAACCGGCCCAGGTGAGAAACCCTTGAAGCAAAGAAAGAAACACATTTCAGACGTAGACGTAGAGTCGGGGCTCTAAAGCCTGCGCGTCCCTTTCTCAGGGAGTCCGTCGGGACATGCGATGGTGACGGCAGCAGTCTGGTGGGTCGTGGTGTCCTCGCTGGGGTCATACCTCCACTCACGCACTCACAGGTAGGCCTATTTGAAATACACAACTTTTACAAAAAAACAAACAAATGTAAAAAGCCCATTTAAAGAAATTGTAGAATATCAGTGCTTCTGTTAAACGGGTCTCTTTTTGTGTGTCTCCAGTGTGATGCTATCAGCGGCTCCCTACCTGCTCTATGTGGTGATGCTGGTGGCCGTTGGAATCTCCAGGATCTTCATCCTCGCACACTTCCCTCACCAGGTCATCGCTGGCTCCATTACAGGTGTGAATACAGTTTCATGCACCAGCTGAAACATGCAGTGATTGTAGGGATGGAATGGATTAATTGCATTATTATCCCCGTTTATATAATTGTACATTCAACTAGGTAGAATAACTGGACAGTATTGGCTGTTTTCAATTATCCATTGAAATGCAGTACTTCTGTACACGAATGTCAAAATCACCATAAAACCTAATTTATTTAAAGCAAACCACAAAACACTGGGGTGCTGACCATGGTGTACATTTACAGAAAAAAGTGCCTGTCAGGTGAAAACTATGTTTTTCTCCCACAGAATGTATGATTATGTAGTTTTAAGAGAGCACATGCGGTGTTGATGTTTTATCAATTTGAATGGATTTTTGCCAGGTTTCATTCTGGGGATTTTTCTGAGCCGCAGAGTCCCAGAAGGGCGCCCCCTGCTGTTCTTCTTCAGCCTAAGCGTCGGGCTGCTGCTCGGCACCGTGATGCTGCACGCCGGACTGCGGCAGCTGGGAATCGATCTCTCCTGGTTCGCATTTTGAATCCGTTCCGTGCACGATGAGCCCCGTGTGTGCGCGCTGAAGTCAGTTTAACTCACTGCAGTTTTTCCTCCACAGGTCTATTGCTTTGGCCAAGAAATGGTGCAGCCGCGCAGAGTGGGTTCGCCTGGACTCTGCCCCGTTCTCCTCTCTGACCCGAGACTGCGGGGCCCTCCTGGGACTGGGGCTGGCCCAGTACTGGAAGCCCGGCGGGTGGCCCCTGCGTTTGGCTCCCAGGGCTTTGTCTCTGGCCATTTCGTCCATGGGACTGTACCACGTCAATCGATTGCCGCTGCCGGTCCGACCACCAGGACTCTTCTACGGGCTTTTCTTTGTCAAATTTGTCATGGTGCCTCAGGTTGTGATGGTGCTTGTGCCCGGGCTGGTTCACCTGGTCACTCACAGGAGGAGGAACGACTAAGAGCGATCGTCCGCCTTCCACCCCTCCACGAACAATCGCGTCCTCCTCAGCACCTTAAATGTCCATTCCAAGCGCTTCATGGTCGTGTTGAGGATGTCGTTAGTTTCACCACATTCACTTTAGTTTCTTACTATGTGGCTGGAAAGTGTAAACGCAAAATGCTGTAGGTGGAAATTACATGTGTCTTAGATGTGGGGATTGTATTTCTTTTACATTTACAGTAAATGTAAATACTGCAGTAATAAGCGTTAATACTTTGTTTTGGTGGGAAAAGTGCAATTTTGAGCCATTGCAGAAAAATAGAACTTAATATTATTTTAATTGTTAACGTTAACCAGGGAAGGTCAAACCAGGGCCGGATTCCATTGGTCAAAAAACGGACCCCCTAATGTCTATTTCCTACGGTTCCTTGACCTTTGCAGAAAATGTCATTTTTTCACTTCAATCACAGGAATTCATCAGATTTCTTGTAGTTTTGTTGGATACTTACTTGTAAACTGACTAACGTCGCCATTAATAGCTTTACAAAATGCTATAAACATATATATAAATGTTGTTTTGTTGACCACAAATAATCCAAAAGAAGAAAACTACATGTGCATGTTATAAAAAAAGTATTCTTTAAAAGAAATGATTGACATGCAGGGAATGTTTCAGTTTGTAACCATTTATAAATATGTTTCTTTTTTTTGTCTCCAATACATAGGTTTGACTGTACAGATTACAATCAGTTATGAGATAAAAACACATTCTTTTATTATTGTTTTTTTATCACAGCGACCTGAAAGCTCACATTTACAGACAAGAGAACTCTGCTCAGCAAGCAAATACATTAAAATAAAATAAAAGAACCTTTTGCGTTTCGTATGGTGAGGTTGAAGGAAAATGATAAGGATAGTTCAGGGACAGCAGTCTCTCTTTATCTTGATCCGAGCGCCAACACACCAGGGTCAGAACACGGCTTTACTGCTTGAGCTCATGGAAAGAATAGAACATGCATCAGATTATTTACAGCAAACCAATATACATAGACAGCTTGAAACCATACACCCTTGATTATCCTCAATTTAGAAGTCTTCTTAAATAAATTACAATACAGTTTCTATCTTTATTTGTGTAAAGATAAGTAGGGCATCTTTCCGGTGGCAGGTGAAACTGAGAACCGCCCCACTTCTTCTTCACTTCATTCTTTGTCAGAGAAACTAAAATAAAAAGTTACAAATGGTCCCAAACTTTCCCCACATATACAAATAGCTTGGATATTCTCAGTATTCCACTTTCTGTACCACCCAAACTCCAAATATGGAGTTTCAGGGCACTGAAACCTCAGTCATACTTTTGTTGCAATAGATTCGACTTAATTTCAAGATGTGTGCAAGACCAGTGGATTAGACTGGCTCTTTGAGAGATAGAGGACTTTAATGTGTATATTTTGCTTTAAAGATGTGGAATACTTAAATATGATCGGCCCCCTGAAACAGACTTGCTTCACTATCAAACCCGAGCTGAAGTGAACAAATATCTGAGTCAGTATTTACAACTTGTGCTAGAAAGTCTATACATCTTCACCAGTTTAAAAACGTTGTCTGCTCTTCGTATTGTCATTCATCACTGCTTTGTAAATCATACAACAATAATAATAATAGTGTCTATGATAGTCTGATAGTCATCAGTGGTCAGAGGTCTGCCTGATCACACACACACTTTCTCTAATTTCAACAATCATAACAACAAACTAAGTAAATTACATAAAGTGCACCCTTAGTTAAGAACTTAACAGGCATTTTTAGTGCAGAAGTGGCAGAATAAAAATGCATTGTGGGTAAAAAGAAACACAGAATAATGCAGTAGAGGGAGAAACGTCTAACAGTGGTCGTGTATGCATTGCTTGCTTGTACCCGCGCAGCACTTTCCACGTTAACCCACCAGCAGCTAATGTTCCCTCTCGGGAACACACAGCACGACATCCTGCGGAAGAGGGACAAAGGCGAACTTTGATTCTCGTGTGCCACGCGATAAAATACCCCTATTCAGCATTTGACCCGCAGAATTCATTGATTTAAAATTCCTGCAGCCCAGAATTCCGACTGAATTTATTGCACTCAAAAGGCAAATACATCAATGTGACCTCAAAACAAGTCTAAAGGAATCCGCAAAAAAGCTATCATACGAGTTTGTACGAATCAACAGCGGCTGAGGCTTTGTTTGTTTATGTGAGCAGATGATTGAGCAAGTATTAAGTAGGTAGCACAGGGAGCTGGTCCACTATGTCAGCCTAGACGCTGAGGTCTATGATCCAGGGATTGTCCTAATAAAATTCAAATATACAACCTAAGAAATGAGGCGAAGTTACTGGTTGAAAATGATTCAATCAACCAAAACATATGCAGAAATTGTTTGATTTTTTTTCCCATTCAGACAAAATGTTTTTTTCTCTGCGTTATGAGGCTGTCACTGAGATTGTTGGTCGGATTAAAAATCCATGCTGGATTATATTAGACCTATTTTACTACTCTGACGGTTTGCAGAACAAATAATAACCTGTAGATTTATCGCTAAAGAAACTACTTGCTGCGGTCTCCGGATCATCGAGGACGTATTGCAGCGGAGAAAGCATATTCTCGCATTGAACCACAACAAAATCTCTTTTTATTTTGCCACAATAGAGGTAAAAGTATCACTCAAAGTCGGTCATTGTCCCTCATTCCTCACCTTGCTCGGTTTTCCACATCCATACGACTAGCGGTGGGACTCGAAGGCAAGGTTAACAGAATACAATTCAAACGCAAACGATGTTTCCTTTCTATGTACAATATATAACTTACTTATAAATATTGTCATTTTTCTCTAAGTACTGAGTTGTTGAGCCATTTGTGTTTTCTGAGCAATGTACAGTATTGAACATATAATATTGTATTACATATAATAGAGCCTACTAGCAACCTTGGTTAAGAGCACACTTTGAAAGAACAGAAGATGGATACAGAGTCCACAAGTAGAGTCCGATGATTAGTACTTTCACTCTTTCACTCAGTCCCACACCTTGTGGCGTTCACTTGAGCTTTGTGCCACACGACATTTTGGAAGTGCGCTGTTCTTTGATTCGGTATGAGATCAGAACGCGGGACCCTCCCGTTGTCCCACCTGTGTGCAGAATGTGATAATGAAAGAAATCTCCTCGTTGGTTGTGTTTTGTTTTTTTCCTCCCCTTAGCGTGTGTGGTTTTCTCTCTGCCTCCTGTTGAGTTCTGTTAGATGAGTTAGTCCATGTACACATGGGTCAGCAGCATCGGCCGTCGCGCTAAACATTGTCCTCCTCTCACATCCCACGAACGAGCCCAGTCCAACCAGTCCAACCAACCACAGACAGACCATCACACATTCGACTCCACAAACGGTCTCTTTGGTTTGATGGGGGAGCTGGGGCCTTGGGTCCGGGAGTCACGCGACAGCTGGCGGTACATGTTGTCCTGGTACGCCTGTGCCACGGGCAGAGTCCTCGCCACCTTCACGTCCGGGTAGGTGGGCACCTGGCTGACCCGCTCCAGGATGTCCCCGCTGCCGCGGGAGCCGTTGGCTAGCTTGCCCAGCGGGGGCGTCTGGGTGTAGTAGTCCTCCTCCAGCAGGTGTCCGTTTTGGGCGTTGTTGGTCTTGTTGTAGTAGGCGATGTTGCCCAGCGAGGCGGGGGGGCTGTAGGTGGAGCCCTGCTGGACCAGCTGGCCAGGCGAGGTGGGGCTGATGGCGGAGTCCATGGACGTCATGGCCCTGGACCGCGAGGGCTGATGCAGGTACTGCTGAGTCCGCGCCGTCTTGTCTATGATGCCCATGAAGGGTGTGCTCCGAGAGCGGGTGCTCTCGCCCGGGTACAGCCCCCCGCCGCCCTGGGAGGGGGAGATGGGGGAGATGTCGTCGCAGGCGCGCTCGTAAGTGGCTTGCAGGGGGATCTCCATCTGCTGGATGGACGAGGACGGCCTGAAACCCGGGGCCAAATTTGAGGTGGACCCGGCGGAGATGTTGTTGCTGGAGGGGGAGAACCGGAGGCCTACGCTCTGAGAGTGGATGAGAGGCCTGGGGGTGGGCACGTGCGGCTTCATCTCAGTGGTGTTGGCGCTGACGGGGCGCCTCACCATGTGCGGGACCTCGGGAGAGCCCAGCTGGTGGGAGGGCATGGCGTTGGCTCGCTCCAGCACGTGCTCAGAGACCGGGTAGTAGGCGGCCGACTGGCTGCGGCTGATCTGGGGTGTCTGGCTGTAGCGGATGCCCCCCGGGCCCCCGCTGCTGGCGCGGTAGGCAGAGGAGGGGCGCTGGGGGAGCTCGTCCTTCAACAGGCTCGACTCCATAACCCCTCCTCGGCCGCCGTGCTGACAGAGGGCCCCGGAGCTGAGGCTGGGCTGGACCTGGGGCATCGAGCGTCCATCCAGGGAGGGCTGGTACACCAGCCGGCTCTCCACGTCCACCGAAACCCCCTGGTAGCGACCACCCATGGAGTGCCCCATCTGGTAGAGGCTGTTGCCCATCACGTTGCTGGGCTGGTTGGTGCGGACTATTTGGGCTATTGAAGGCTGAAGGCGGAGGCCCTGGGCTTGGTGGTGCTGGGAGGAGAGGGAGGGCTGGGAGCTCAGCTGGAACGAGCGCTGGCTGCTCATCTTGGAGAGAGGAGACTTGGGTCGGCCGGGGAGCTGCTCCGTCTGGTAGCGCACGGGCGACCCGGACTGGGACCTGTAGAGGCAAACGCTCTCTACCGGCGGGCTGGCTCGGTACTGGGCGCTCCGGCGTAATGGGGAAGGCGGCGGGCTCTGGCGATCCATCGCCTGACCCCCGGGACACATCGAAGACGAGCCGAAGCCGTAGGACGACTGGTGCCCCGAGAGGTCCAAGCTGAATATGTCCTTACGGGTTCTGATGAGTTCGGGAGGAGGGAGGGCGACGTGGGCTGGTACGAGCCGCGCGTGGGCGAGGATATGGAGGAGGACGTGGGGTGGTATTCGTACGGCTGGCCCATGGGCGAACCCCCGGTTAAGTAGATGTGGTCGTGGTGTGTTGGGGAGAGCGGCGGGCTCTGAATGACGGGGAGGCTGGACGGATTGCTGTGAGACTCGGGCGGGGGCAGACAGGCCGACATGGCCTCCAGCTCCTGCTCCAGGTAGTCCTCGTCCTCAAACAGGTCCTGGACGGGCTCCATGTCCTCCAGGCGGGGCTCTGGGGGAGGGGGGAGCGGCATGGACAGGGACAGGGACAGGGACTCCTCGTCTTCTGGGGGAGGCGTAGGGGGAGGGGAGGGCGGAGGCTCCAGCTCCAGTAGCTCCTCCTGGTTGAGCTGGTGATATTCCTCCTCCACCCTCTCGAGCAGCCGCTGGATCTCTCGGTTGTTGGGGCACTGCTTCATGGCTTCGTTCAGGTCCTCTAAGGCTTCAGGAAATTGTCTGAAAAACAGGATAAGGACGGTTTGTTCTGGGGGAGAAAAAGTCACAGTGGACAGAGAGATCTGGAGGAACCCAATTGGGAGCCTCGATGCATGTGCACAAACGTGAGCGGAGGATGTAGCTGCAGATACAATTCTGAATGTATATGAAAGAGTGTTCCACACAGATGGATTAAAGGCGTGTACCTGCTGCTACGCTTGGCACGCGCTCTGGCATAGTACGCTTCATAGGATTTCGGTTTCAGTTCAATTGCCTTTGTAGCGAATTCCTCAGCCATCCCAAAGTCCTGGGGAGAATAAACAAAACCAAACGCATACAAAAAACGTGTGAAAATATAGCCAACAGCATTGTGGGCCAGGTGGGTGGAAAAAAAGTTGAAATGAGTCCACTTTTAGTTCATCTCTGAGACCGTGACCTTTGCTGTGACCTTTGCTGGTCCTCTGCAGACTTACGTTCATTTTCCTCCGACATCGGGACAGGTTGAGGAAGATCGATACTTTGAGTTCCCTGAATGTCTTGAGGTCATCGCTGAAGCCTTCGCGTGGAAACTTTTTGAGGGCATACTGATAACGCTGCGCCGCCTCCTTCACCTTCCCCTTCTGTTGGGACACGCAGAACGGAGTCGGGTCAGCCTCACTTCAGAGGGAAATAACGAACGCGGATCCGAACACGTTCACAAGCAGAGACAAACATTAACATGCAGTTGTCAAAAGAAATGTTAATAATTGGTTCTCAGCTTAAGCAAATTCGAGTCTGTAATATACATATATCGGGATGTACAAAGAATGCCGTCCTGCATGCAACTCCCGAAGAGTAATATGAAACTAGCAGTCATTTATTGAATAGCTATTTTATGTCCATATTTCATCGTCCCATTTCTCTCCATTCCATCCATTTCATGAAGTCTTTTGTGTGTGGATGTAGAATAAACGAAGGAATCGGAGCTGCAGGCTGCAGCGCCCCCGTCCTCTGACCTTGTAGAAGCTGTCCCCCTCCTCGATGAGTTTGCTGAGTAAGATGATCATGATGTCGGGTTTGGAGGTGGCCATGGCCCATGTGGCGGGACCTGGGTAACACAGGAAAGGAGCAGATGAAAAGAGAAACACAGTGAGAGGGACACACCGCAAAAAGCAGAAGAGGAGGGAAGAACTGGAAGGAGCGACTGCGAGTCACACCACACACAACAATAATAACGGGGATGAGGACAACAGACAAAAATGGCGGAATGGAGGAGAAAAGACAGGCAATCCACTGCAGAGAAAAGATGATAGAAAATCTGCTCTGACACCTTGAGAACAGTGACCTCGCTAAAGGACGTCAGACCTGCGTCAAATACTATTAGACAATATTTGGGATTGAGTGCAGAAGGAGCCCATTTTAAGTTGTTTAAAAAAAAAGCCTAATTAAAACTAAACTGTAGCAATTATCTGCAAATTCTGTCCCCTAAAAACGCTGAAAAGTGCCGATGTACACCAACTCTGTGTGCTGGTGACCATCACGAGAGCAGGAAAAAGCTTGTGTGTATAAAAAAGGACACTGCAGGCTGCTGAAACTGATGTGTCTTTTCTGAATCCGCGCAACAGCAATCCTTGTACACATGGACACAACGACACGGGGGATGAAGAGGAAGGGGATCTTGCACGAGGGGACACGGGGACAGGTGCGATCAACAAAAGAGGCAAGCAGGAGGGAGGAGGGGTGGGGAGGAGGGGGGGAGGGGGGTGGTAATGGAGCTCTGCAGGCGTTAGTCGTCCTCTCAGCTGCTGCTGCTGCTGGTGGTGCTGGTGGTGCTGCTGCTGCTGGTGGTGCTGGTGGGAATGCTGCTGACTGGCCTAGCTGACACAGAGGAAACGTCTGGAAGATGAACGATGCACAGCACAGTGGTTTATCCCCTCCGGTCTGTGGCGGCGGCGGCGGCGGCGGAACAGGGGAACTACAAATACATGCATCTCCGCCGGGTGACGGCCGCGTCACTGAGGGCTTCCGTCATGCGTCTGAGGGATGGTGAGG